AACTTTTAAGCAGGAAATTGCAAGGGAAAAGATCTACGATGATTCTCAGGGTAGTTCTCTGCTCTTCGAGGCTAGAATGGTAGTATTGCGGACCAAGATGTACCGAGCAAAATACGAAGGCACAGACACGGTATGTAGTGCGTGTGGAGAGGAGGAGGAAACGGCTGAACATTTGATAATGTTCTGTAAAGGGCTCCACCCTAGAGTCGAAGATAATGGCGCCGAATTTTTCAAAGCATTGGGGTTTTGAGACACTGAAGATAAAATAGACTTTAGACGGGTTGAAATAACCAGGAGGCTAACTAATTGGTGGCTACAATCGAGATGCGAGTGAAATTCAATCCTTAAACACACAGAGATAGTACTTAACTTTATGGCTAGGTGGCGTGAGCCACCACCCGATATATAAAGGGCACAGTCGGATCCATCCATCCATCCATCCATCCATCCATCCATCCATCCATCCATCCATCCATCCATCCATCCATCCATCCATCCATCCATCCATCCATCCATCCATCCATCCATCCATCCATCATCCGAGAGCGAGTAAAAAGGGTGTCTTTTTGTCCCACAACAATAATCGTCATCTATATTGCGTTTCATCCTTGCGCTATCACCCAGTGCCCGGTACATTCCGGTAACGATCGAGATGCCCATTATCAGGGTTACATTGCATTCTCGATAGGAAAGTGGCCAGCGCCGAGTTTTCAAGAAAGGAAGCGCACGCAAGCATGATGATGATTATTGTTGTGGGACAAAAAGACACCCTTTTTAGTCGATATTTTTTAGAGTGCATCCATCCATCCATCCATCCATCCATCCATCCATCCATCCATCCATCCATCCATCCATCCATCCATCCATCCATCCATCCATCCATCCATTCATTCATTCATCCATCCATCCGTCCGTCCATCCATCCATCCATCCATCCATCCATCCATCCATCCATTCATCCATCCATTCAGCCCCGCCGCGGCGGTCTAGTGGCTAATGTATCGACTGGTACAGGAGGCCAAACATGCTGCGCTGGGCACTGGTGGAAAACAACCCAGCTTTATTGCACACGTGTACATATATAGGATTTAGAAGGGGCGTGTCTTCAAGCCGCAAACAGATTAGTGCTTCGAGTAAAGCTCAAACAGATACGATGAGCTTTCGTGGCACACGTGGAGCGCTCGGCTCCCAAGATACGATACATCTTCCTCTGTTTGGAAGAAAAACAAGGACAAGGAAAAGAACACAAATGAAAGTTGCCAGGCACACTAGTTCACGGCACTTGCACGAAGTTCTGGTTGTAGGCCAGACGTTGAGGTGCTCGACGTTGTCTGAGCGACCTTCTTGGGGCTGGTGTGGACGAGACACTTGTTGGGGCAATGGGCTGTGCGGGCGTAGACGGAGGTGTGCATTCTGCACGTCGATGTGCTATCGCATTGCTTTGACTAGACTGTACCTCAATGTCGTCGTCGTCGTATTCCTGGTAATTGCGTTGAAAGGGTTCCCGCGTGAGTAGCAGGTGCTGCCGGTTGCGCCTGAGCACAGTGCCGTTTTCTGTTACGACTGTGTACGACCTGGGGTGGCCAGCAGACTTGAGTACTTTAGCTTTCGTCGCCCATGTGCCTTTCTTGATCCGGACCGTATCTCCCGGGCTCAGGTGCGCCAATGGTCTCTTAGAGTGGTCTGTCTGAGGGCGCCGGAGCACCTCGAGCCTGGTGTTGCCTTGAACGTCAGGAATAGTTGTGCGGAGCCGTCGTCCCATCAGCAGCTCAGCGGGTGATGCGCCGCACTCGAGTGGGGTGGTCCTGAAAGCAAGCAATCCCAACCAGATATCTTGTTTTGCTTCAATCCAGAAGCGTGCCGAAATTGCATGCTCGGGCCTGTTTCTTCAAGTCCCGCAAAAAGTGCTCGAATGGCTCACCTTGGCTTTGCACTCTTTTCCGAAATACGTAGCGTTCGTGTACTTCGTTAGTCTGCAACGTGAAATATTCGTCGAATTTCTTGATGACTGTCGCGTAGTCAGCCTTGTCTTCTCCTTCCGTGAAGCTCAGCGTATTAAATATCTCGATGGCGTCTTCACCTGCTACGCTGAGAAGGAGTGCTGTCTTTGAGGACACCGATCGCTGCTTGTCACTGGGTTCCGATGCCGCAAGGAAAAGCTCGAATCTCTGCTTAAATGTCTGCCAATTCTTGCTTGCTTCTCCCGTCGTGTTTAGCGGACCAGGCAGCCTCAACGAATCCATTGCGTATTCCTCGCAGCGCTGGCCGTCGAAGATCAAGGCCCTGCTTTGATACACATCCCACTTCTGACACCATGTATCGACTGGTACAGGAGGCCAAACATGCTGCGCTGGGCACTGGTGGAAAACAACCCAGCTTTATTGCACACGTGTACATATATAGGATTTAGAAGGGGCGTGTCTTCAAGCCGCAAACATATTAGTGCTTCGAGTAAAGCTCAAACAGATACGATGAGCTTTCGTGGCACACGTGGAGCGCTCGGCTCCCAAGATACGATACAGCTAAGGTACTCGGCTGCTGACCCGCAGGGTGCGGGTTCGAATCCCGGCTGCGGCGGCTGCATTTCCGATGGAGGCGGAAATGTTGTAGGCCCGTGTGCTCAGATTTGGGTGCACGTTAAAGAACCCCAGGTGGTCGAAATTTCCGGAGCCCTCCACTACGGTGTCTCTCATAATCATATAGTGGTTTTGGGACGTTAAACCCCACATATCAATCAATAAATCCATCCATCCATCCATCCTGGGCTTTCCGCGCTCGGAAGCAACGTGCTCGGAAGTGCGCGAAAAGCAAGGAGCGTCTGCTACGTGCGGTAGTTTTTGCGCTGTATATATTTGCACGCAGGGCATTTGAAGTATGCTTAACTTTATTAATGAGGTGTGAAATGAAGCTCACCCATCGTTAAGAGTTGTGTCACACTGTTGGTGCCTGGGGCAGCAAGGGAACGCAAAAACTGATGGCTTAATCGGCATCAACGCGGTCATGTTCTGGTGCTAGAGTTCGAATACGCTAATGTGGCAGCTGTGCGTGCGCCAAAACTGATAACATGAAAGGAGAAAAAAAGCGGAAACAACCTGAATCACTCGGGCAAGCGAGTAATAACATCATGCATGCAAGAAATAGGAGTAATGAATAAAGTAAATACTTTTTCAGTCAGCTGAAATACTTGCGTGTAGTGACCGCTAGGCTCACCATTACGGGCTTTTTAGTCATGGTCGCCGGCGGTTCGCAGCCACACACAGATGTTCTATTAGATAATTTGCTAGCCTTGACTACAAATTTTTAAGAACAAAGAACAGCTAGAAGAGCACACGGCCGTACCACCGTGCAATGTCTTTTAATGAACTTATTTCGTTTTAGACCTAGCGTACTGCAACAAAGTTTGCCTTGCGTCAAGCTTGTTTTCAATTCAGACATTCGAAAGAAGACCAATGCCAGAATCACACATTTTATCCCACGCATACGCACTTTTTTTAGAGCTGTCTGTACCAATTGTTGTTAATTAACTGGTAAACATACCCACTTTATTGTGTTCTCTACGCACGCAGAAAGCAGCTACGACTAAGTTCCTTGAAAATCAGCGTATCATTTGTATGCAGGTGGAAAGGGGGATCCGCCCTCATCAAGAGGGGGGGGGGGGGAAGGCGCTAAGTCTACCCCAAACATTAATCTGCCCCATACAGATTAATAGGGAGGGAATTAAGCTGCTGCGATGAACCTCCGCCCTCCTCCAAGGTGGATGTTTCAGCTGGCAAAAGCTGGAATGGTCATAGTAACTGCCCGACGGATAAAGCAACAGGGAAAAAAAGTACGCAGGCAATTAACAGACTGCACCTTTTTTTTTTTTGAGTGAGTTCTCTGTGTCAATTGTTGAATTGGGAAATGCACCTACTTTATTGTTCTGCTGCGTACGCAGAAAAGAGCAGCGACAATGTTCTTTGAACACCATGCAGTATGTGAAGCTTAGGTCGTACATATGGAAGGGGAGTGGGAGTTATGGGCGGGTCCTTTCGGAATTTCAATTTTGTTTGTGCAAAGTCTCACTGCAAATAGGGGCACTGATAAATCGAAGTTTGCATCCAGCTATTGCTTAATTGGCTTTTACTTATTGTTCTTCTTTTTTTATTTTCTTAATGTAAGTACATCTATTTATACTTATTCCTCATGTGTGCATGAATTTCAATTTATTGTGTGCTGATGCTCATTTTGAAATAATTATTAATATTTAGTGTTTATTTCATTGCCGTATACACGTCTTTCTTTTTTTTTTCACTGGTCACTCACATTCTGCATCAAAACACTTGTCTTAGCGTCTTTCTTTCCGGTTGTTGTATTTTGTTTTTTAATGTAACAGGTATAAATATATATGAATATTGATGTACTTATACTCAAACATTACTGTGTGGAAAAGAATGGTAATAAAGTGGGACGGAAGCCCCGAATTTCCTACATCTTCGTTCCGTGCGTGCTATATATCCCGCTTGTATGGGCTGTTCAGGTAAAAAACAACCTGGCAGCATACTCTAAAGATCAGTTTTTTTTTGCTTTATTTACAATTTATCGGCGCCCTGTGTGGCGAGCACAGCGACTTTGTACCGTTACCACAAAGCTTGTTTTAAACGAGAAACGCCTGAGAGCGCGGACTCAGACGCGTTAATGCTGCGCGCCAGCGAGCGGTTGCGTCCTCTACAGGCTTTATCGTAAACTCTTTCAGCTTTGCCACCTCGTTCAGGAATCACGACACTAAGGACACTAAGAAAACCTTTCAAGCCACTGCCACGATATTCCGCAGCTTTCGATCCCCCGACAAATCGAAGCCGCACATGTGGGATCATTTCGTGAAAAGCTACTGCATAAAAAAAAAAAGCATTTATACTGCCACCTCACGGGAAGTGTGCTGTACACTCCATAAACAGTATTATATTAAAAAAGAAACAAAGGACGTATCAAAATATTATGCCGTCAACGGCTGAGTGGTGGCGTAGTGGCGGCGCATCAAGTGCAGTGCTTGCGACTTCTCGGTGGCGTGAGGAGGGACGACGGGGCAATGGGCGCTGCCGTCCTGCAATATCTACAGTTAGAAGGGCGGTCTGCTACGCCATGCATCACGTGTTTGCCAAGATCAACAGCTCTAACTGCGTAAGGCAGCGCAAGGTCCTGTATCGAATCAGTGTATGAAAAACGTAGTGTGCGGGGTTAACGCCGCCTGTGCAAGACGCATGAATTCGCGTACGGGTTCGACTCACAAGTACGGCGAGTACGTCATGGTTTCTTTCTCTCTTGGGTGCCACTTGGTTGACCATGCGTGTGATTAGCCCTGGTGAACTTGGCACTTTCGAGAGTACTTTTTCTCTCGTTGAAATGAGCTCCTCCTCGAAGCATTTGTATTGAAAAAGCGTCATATTTACGTGTTGTTCTCGTAAATGTGTGCTGGTCGCCGATTCTCTCATTAGTTGCCGCTTTTGCGTAGGTAATGTGCCGGAATGGCCTCTTGTGCACGAATCTACGATTTCTTCCATGAAACTTGTTGCTATCTTAGACGCGCAGCTGCTTTCATTTCTTGCTCGCTTGGTTAACCACTCCATCTTACACTTAATCGCAAGTATTATAAATGTTGCGCGCATTGATACGTACCACAAAAAAGTGATACTTTTTGACCTGTTCTTTAATACCCTTCATTGTGAAATGTTTTTATTGCTAAATGCTTATTAAAGGTTATGTGCTCCACTTTGACTGTGAACATTTGAGACATACTTAGCTTTAAGCCAGCAGTTATCAATGAGTATTTTGCATTCTATGGAGATGTGATCCGTATGAAACAGCAGGCAAGGAGACGAATGACTGTTGCTGTTTTAATGGGTTGCCTGAGCTTGAAATCTTCATTGAATGAATGTACACGAGTTTAGACCTTTGTGTAGTTAGAGGAAGTATGTAGCAATTTGCTTCCTGTGCCGTATTGTTTTGCTTGAAGGGCTCCCTTAAGTGTCCATACGAAAACAAAAGGTTTGATATTGATTTCTGCTCCTCCCATTTTGTGTAGGGTGTTCAGAGATAATTCATGATCTTTGCATGCTGAAACTGCACACGATGAAAGGAGTTTTTTTATTGACATAAAAAGCTGAGCATATGGCTCAACTCAAGTTACATTCAGTCCATGGTAGCCAATAGACCGTTATTACATGCTGCAATGTAAATTAATTAATGGTTTGTACCATCACTTGCTGCTAGCAAAACAGCATGTAAATGGTAATCCTCATTCGACTCAAGGCCTCATGCACTTGGCATGTTTACACCGTTCTCTGCTACAAGAACTGAAATATGGGCAAGTTTGTAGGAGCTCATAGTTGAACTAGAATGATGGCACCAAAAGGAAAACACTACCAAGAAGAGCACCAACTTCAACGCCTATTCCTACACATTTATGCTCATTTAACAATGAACCACCGAGATGACATCATCATGCATGATCCTTCCCCACAAAACCAAAAATGGAACAGGTGTCACTTTCTTTTAGGAGCTTGCTCCTTATGCTCTGGGCATGTCCATCACCCTAGCCACTCCCTTGATGACACTGATGGCGGTGAAGAACAAGCATGTTCGAGAGCATACATTCTTTCTGCCATCACATGCAAAGTACATCATGACGATGAAGCACCCACTATGCCATTCATCATACTGTTGATAAGATAGGTACTCGCTACACATTTGTAAGGAATTATGTGTACTTTGTCCTGTGGCTGATGAGGATGAAGATTAAGCACGTTTTGTGAGCTTTCTCCTTATGCTCTGGGCTTGTCTATCGCCGTAGCTGCTACCTCTTATTGCTCCCACAGAAGATCCAGCTCAGAGTTTAGAAAATTGTACAATTTCACCTAATGCAGGGGTCTCAAACTCGTATCAGGTACAGAGCTGCAATCGCGAATTTAGTCCTGCAGAAGGCCGAGACAGCAAAAAGTGGGGCAGGGGACTTTGAACAAAATATCACCTAACATAGAAAGAAGGCGTTTCGGATTTCTAGAGTATGAATCATTTTTGATGTGGTGAATGAGGGACCTTTGTATACCGATCTTTACGATGACCGAAATCTAGACTAAAGTATTGAGTTTTTGTTGAGCAGTTATGTTTCAACAGATGATGACCACATTGAGTGCTTCACGAAAAAAAAAAAAAAAATTGTTTAAGAACATTCAGGTCTTTGTAGCTTACCCGAACAAAGCGTCATTATTCGCAATAGGTGGGAAAATAATGCAAGTATTATTAAACATCACAAACATCCACGATGTCATAAAGTGTATTCCGCAATAACTGTCATGTGCGGGCCACTAGCAAAAGGCCTGCAGGCTGCGTGTCTGAGACGCATAAACTAACGTATTGCTAGAATAGAAAGATGAGTTGAAAAGGGAAAAACAAAAAGGTTGTAGGGACCCTGAAACATTTTTTTAAAACTTTGCCAACATTTACTTTGTAGCATCATGAAGTCATTCGAAGTGTAAATGTAGTGATGCACCTTGTATCAGGGCAGCTATGGGCAATCATATGTGACACCTTCTCGGCACTGCCTTTCCTCTTTATCTCACTTACTCGCAGTTGTCGCTGTTGACGGCAGCAGGCTTGATGGAGATGAAACTAATGATGCACAACTATTCATAGTACCCATAAAAATATCAACAGTGTAAGGACACTATCGATAATACTGCTATTGGTAAACTATTGATAGTATTATTAAACGTCCCCGCGGGGGCGTCTATGCAGGCCGGTGCCTGATGTGCGGTGACACCACGGACCCGAGCTAGTGAAGGGGCTTCGACACCCCCTTAACGTCTAGCCGTGCGTGGCATAGCCGTGTTCAGGGAAGAGGGGATCGAGGGGGTTGAGCCAGTGCTGGTTGACTGGACTTTTACGGCCCCCCGGCAGAGGCAACACATTCCTTTGGTCTCTGCTTCTCGTAGACTCCACCCCTTATCACCTTTTTATTTCTCTCCCTCCCCTCACACCTTTGCCTTTGTCTTGTACTGTTACTCTTTTTGTCCCCTCCTCTCTTTAATTTACCTCCGTTTTATCCTGGCAGCAGGGATTAACCTTGTAGTTACCAAACTTTGGGTAGTTATATTTGGTTATAGCGGCGATGTATGGCTGGCGCTTTCAAGTGTTCTACCTTTTGGCGTCTTCTTGTTGAGCTCAGGGGTGGGTGGTCACCATCGCCACCAAACTTCAAATGCTCCTCATGGCAAAATCTTTCCCCCTCCTAAATGATTGGTCCCTGAAAAAAGACAGCACCGATGAAAGCTCCAAACGAACTGGAACTGATTTTGACCACTTTCTGCGCTTTTTAATCATATGCCCTCTTACAGGTAATGACTCTGTTGCAGCATTGTCAGTTTTCCTGATAGCTAAAACCCTTGCAAACCTAGTAGGCAAAAAGTATGACGTAGCGGAACTGGCATGCAGTGATCATATTATTGAAGTCACCCAGAAAGAGCATTCAAACATCTGTCTGAAACAGAAGCAGTTTGCCCACCTGAACGTGTACATCGTCCCTCGCAGCAGTCTTAATACTGTTTAAGGCATCATTTCACAACGTGATCTGATGCAAGAAACCGAAACTGACCTCCTCGAAAGCTTCCAAGAGCAAGGCGTAACTGCAATCAGTCAGATCCCCATCAGGCGGAATGGGGAAGGAGTTGTGACGCTCCACATAGTAATAACGTTATATCACTCTGTCCTGCCCAATGCTGTGAAAGCTGCGTTTCTTCACTGCGAAGTCTGCCCCTATATACACAACCCTAGAAGGTGCTATAAATGCCAGAAATACGGACATGGGTTGAACACCTGTCGCGGAAAAGTGCGCAATGTGGTGATCATGAGCACCCAGCTGTACTTCCACGCAAATGGAATGCCCTAACTGTCACGGGCTGCATGCTATGTACTTGCGGACATGGGAAACCTTCAAAAAGGAGATGTAAATCAGCCAGATCAAGGTAACAAGAAAAAAAAAAAAATAGAAGAAGGTCTCGCTTTTTTTTTCGGATGATCGTATGGTGACGTAGTGCACCGGGGGGCCGGTCGGCATCTAGTGAGGGTGGATATGAAGTACAGCTTGTCTGATGCATGCAGATCTCGGCCTCCTACCAAGCAGCCATGGGCTGCATCAACCTTCCAAGTCCCACAGGTCAACCTTCATCAGACTTCGGGGAAGACAAACAAATGAGAGGACATCGGTCTCTTCTCACAAACCTCTATCAGCCTCCGAGTGTCCACAGGAGGCAGTAGAAGTGACACCAGGATCCTCAGCATCTCTGATGGTGACGGAATCCCCTCTAGCGAGGGAGCCCTATAGTACACCTCAAAGGGAAGAAACACCCTCAAGTACAGCCGCCTGATAAACGCGGCAATCTCTGAATAAGTTGCCTCTCTTGCCTCATTCATAAAAATGGCTGCTGTGAATATCATTCACAGGAATCACCGAGGCCTACACAAGAACTTGGACGACATTTATGGAATACTTGCACAACACCAACCTAACATACTTTGCCTGCAGGAGACACCTAAACCCAATACACACTAAGTTTCTAAAAAGATATGTGGTATACCAAAAGGACAGGCAATGCACTACCCAGTCATCCAAGAGTGCCGCTGTCGTGGTGCAGAAAGCAGTTTCAACTCAAAGCCTCACTGTGCTTACTGACTTGGAGGCAGTGCCTATACGAATCCTAATTTTTGGACGAATGACAGCTCTATTTTCACTATACATTCTTTCGGACTACCACCTCTCTATTTAGGAATTCGAAACGCTTGTCGAGGTTCCCTAATTGAAAACTTCCTGTGGACTTCCGGCTCCTGTAACAAAAAAAAAAAAAAAAAAAGCCAACATACTTTACTGCAGTGCACAACTCGTACATAGCAATAGATCTTGCCATCGGCTCTCCTTCACCCTTGGCAGCTACTGAGTGGGCTGTTATTCATTGCCGCTACGGAAGTGATCATTTTCCTGTCTGTTTAAAACACACAGGAAATGTAAATCTGACAATTGTAAATGTTACCAAGTTTAAAGAACGGGATGCTGACTGGATACAACTCTGAGAACTTTCAAAATTGTCATGTTCATAAATTGAAAACTTAGGCATTCATGAATGTAAAGCATTGTTCACACTGCATATTATACAGGCCGCGGAGCAATCCATCCCACATATATCTAACAAGACACGGAACAAACCATGGCTTTGGTTGAATGTGGAGTGCGAAAATGCTCGTGGGAACCAATAGAAAGATTTCCGTTTAGTGACACTGCACTAAAGGATAGTTTGAGCTGGGAACTACTAGGTACACGTAGCAAAATTATAAAACTTGAAATGCTTTTCAAAATTTTTCACGTCATAATTAAAATAGGTAAAAAGGCTACCTTTTACCTCCCCATTTCTTGTCTCACCAAAATGATTCATAAGGTTTCCACAGAACAAACATTTACCAACAGTAGTTTTTTCGACTAAAGCTCCCAGTGAAGTCGGCTTCTACACTAGATTGTTGACTGTGGCACTGAAACATAGTTAAGAGACATACTGTTACACTCATAGCTACATCTCCCCTTTTTTTTTATGAGTGTTAGTCTTCTTTTCAATATTTATCCTTTTTTGTAAGCATATATTACCCTGTGTTTTATTCTTTTGTGTTATTCTTGTTTTCAGTAGTTATTCTTTTATGTAAGGTTATTTGACCCTGTGTATTCTCCACTGCCATAATGCCTTCAGGCACTGCAGGTACTTTGATTAAATAAATAAATAAATGCAAGGCAATACTTATTAGTCATAATCGATTAAAAGTACCCACTCAGGCAAGGCAATCACACAATACAGGTATATTGAGTTTCTGTTAATTTGATTTCAGGGGTCCTTTAATATCATGAAATTTTTTACCCTTTGAGTTCCTGGTACCAGGTGAAATACAGCAAGATAGTAAGTGTGATTAGCCACACCAAAAACCCAAGGTGCTAAAAGAAGCTAAATAGTCACATGCCCAGTTTGATGGGCATTTATGCAGGTAACTGAAGCAAAGAGGATTTGTTGAATTCAGCTTTGTGTAGGCCTCTTGCTAAGGAGTGCTTAGGGCAGTGTGACACATTTTACTACCAGTTTCACAAAAAAATCTGTTGAATAGTGCTTTTATAGCTCTTTCTTGTTATGCCAGCCGTGGGGACAGGACTGTATTTAGTAATGTAATGCTAAATGTAATATAAAATTATTAAGTTCTTGTTTGAAAGCTTTTGCTCTGAATGCTGCTTGGGTGTATGAGATTGTCAGTTTTAGATGTAAAGGATCGAACACCTGCATAGTTTGAGAACAAGGCCTCATACATAAATGACTGATTGGCTTGCAACATCACATAGTATCAATCATCAGCACAATAACAAAAATATTGTGCAAGATAACAAAAATGCAAACCAAGGTAGACTACACAAAAATTAAAAAGACGTTCTGGCTCCCTACATGGGAGCTGAAACGCCTTTTTTAATCTTTTTGTATTTTGCCTTGGTTGGCGTTTTTGTTATTTGGAACCATGTTTGTCTCTGACCAGACAGGATTTCGTCGGACTCTTGACAATATCGAAAATAAGGAATGTCGCTATCTTTTTACAATGCAGCTTGCGTTTGTATTGCATGGCAATAACTGTGTAAGAATATTTTAGGTGATTGCATTGCGCCTGGTGCCATGTTCAGATTGTGTTCGTCGCCAGGGCTGGTTGTTTGATGCGACAGATGGCGCTCACGGAGGGTGGGTTATAGGGTGCCTGTATGTGAGGGCGGAGCACATCGAAGCACCCTAGTGGGTCAAGGCTAACTGGGGAGTGACTCCGATCTGCGTGTTGAAGACAATTGCTGTGAAGCCTCGCTTGTTTATTACGCTTGATATGCACACATACATGGATGTCAATAACTTTATAGACTGTGACTCTGATGTAACAAAATTGATTTCCTAGTTTTATATGCAGCTTATTTTCTAACAGTGTTTTTGTCATATAAATGCTCCGACAGCAGCAAACATTGGCCGCGGTCGCATTTTGACGCGACAGCATTAAAGAGCTCGTTTCGCTGAAATTCTGGTGTCGGCGGCGTCTGCATCATTGGTTCAGAACAAAAAAACAGAGTTGTCTGTGAGAGAAAATTTGAGGTGTTAGCAATAAGGATAGCAGCCCAAGGGCAAAGGCATGCTAGCTGTTAGGAAGGCGATAGTGTGCGTGCATGTGCTTGTGCATGTATGTGAGTGCATGTGTGCCTGGGTGTGTGTACGTGTGGATATCGCTGTCGAATTCTGGTTTGTTAGCAAAATAAACGTAAAACTGTCAGAGAAGTTTCCACTATTGTATCACGAAACTCACATGCATTCTATTAGGAACTCGAATTGACACACTACCCTTTCCAGTCTTGCTGTTAGCGTCATGCATCATGCACATGACTCCATTTTGGCCTCTTGCAGTGTAAGCAGCATGGTATGGTGGGAAGAACTTCTCAAAGTTGACTCTCGGTTAACCCATACCACACCCATGTCTGGACTGTCAGGCCAGTGCCATCAGCCATGCTTTGCGCTATTTTACTAAGCCGCACGGACTTCAACTTGATGAAATGCTTATCAGACAGTGAAAGCGAGCACACTACCTAAAGCGGTATATTTTGTGCAGCTCGTTACTTATGTTGTTGATGTGCGATACCAACAATCATATTTCGCATTTGATGATGCATTTAAGGCTATCTAAGTCCTCTGCCTCAATAAACGGTGTAGTGTCGTTAGTGCCATAGTCAGAAGTGTGCCTGCAACGTTGGAATACAGTGACGATGAAGTGCTAGAGACTACCAAAAATGAGAAAATCTGGTTTGACGACATCAAGCATGACAAAGTAATTATAATCATGTGAATATAGTGAATGTGAAAAAATATACACAACTGCATCGCAGAAATAGCATGTGCAATGATTTCTGTTCACTGGTTATTTTACAAAATGAAATTTGTCTTTGTCCAAAGAGACATAGATGAGGCAGCTCAAAGAAGGGGCATCTGAATTTAAAACATGAATTTAAAACAAATGACTTTTCTGGCATGATGAGGAACTGAGTCTGTAGCGCATAGGTCCATACTATCGGTGTCTGGTTGAGAAGCATCCTCCTCTGCATGTGGTGGAGGCCCGTCGCTGCTGTAGCTGAAACACTGCCTTTTACATGTGTGCCTGTTGATTCATCATCGCCATGGAGTCACAGCCCCCACGGGTAATACATTTGGTGTACTTTCAGTGGTCGTTCAGTTCATTTCAGTGCAGTTTATTAACCTTAAGGGCTTCCCGAAGGAAGCATTACATAAGAGGTGGGTTACAACTTCTCACATAGACATTTCATATTGATTAGTTATATGCTGCTGAAACAATGATGGGCAGGTGATGGCGGCAATGTCAGCAGGAAGGCCGTTCCAGTCTTTGGCAGTTCGGGGGATGAACGAGGCGGAGAAGTGAGCAGTTGGGGCACGTGGGCGCACGACCTGCTGCGGATGACTGGTGCGGTGAGAAATGCGTGCAGCGGGTACGATGTATGGCGCTTGACTGAGAGTGCCGTGAAAGAACTTGTGAAAGAGCATGAGACTGGAAATACGTCGACGATCACAAAGCTTAATTAAGCTGGAATCTGCCTTAAGTGCTGAAATGCTGATATTGTACGAGAATTTTGAGTGAATGAATTGGGTAGCGCGATTTTGAACAGCTTCAAGTAGGTCGATAAGATATGATTGATGTGGGTTCCAGATGGCCGATGCATACTCCAGTTTTGGTCTCACGAGGGATTGGTAAGCGAGCAATTTGACATGTTTTGGGGCCTGACGAAGATTACGCCTCAGGAAACCTAGCGTCCGGTTTGCTGATGATATGCTATTAGAAATATGAGCGTGCCAGGACAGGTCGTTAGAAAGAGTGATTCCGAGATATTTATAAGAATAAACATTCTTGAGAAGCGTGTTTTTGATTTTATAAGAAGGTGCTATGGGATGACTGCTGCGAGAAAATGACATAGCTTTGCACTTATTTGTATTTAGGGTCGTGAGCCAATCGTTACACCAAGTAGTTATGTTGTCTAGGTCTTTCTGGAGAGCAGTTTGATTGTGGCTGTTATAAATGGTACGGTAAATGACACAGTCGTCCGCGAACATTCTAATGTTAGAAGAGACATGCGAAGGTAAGTCATTAATATATATTAAGAATAAGAGGGGGCCAAGGACAGATCCTTGTGGAACGCCAGATGTTACTAGTACTGGGTTAGACAAGTGATTATTGATAGATACGGACTGGGAGCAGTTACTAAGAAATTCAGTAATCCATTTAAAGACATCTGAGTGTAAGTTAAGTTTTTTTAACTTGAATAATAGGCGCTGGTGAGGAACCTTATCAAAGGCCTTGCAGAAGTCCAGGAAAATGACATCAGTTTGCACATTGATATCGAGATTAGTATTAATGTCATGCAGAAAAATGGCAAGCTGCGTTTCACAAGATAAATCCTTGCGAAACCCATGTTGAGCGAGATGAAAAAAGTTGTTCGAGTCAAGAAACTTCATGATAAGAGAATAGATGACATGTTCCATGATTTTACAAGGAATGCTCGTTAATGAGATGGGACGGTAGTTTAGCGGGGAGTCTTTGTTACCTGATATATGGACTGGAACGACCTTCCCAACCCTCCATTCATCTGGAATAAGACCTAAGGAAAGAGACTGGGTGAACAGCAAGGATAAATAGGCTGGGACAATGCACTTCGTGTTTTTCAAAGTTTTTGCATTAATTTCATTTATACCAAAGGAGGATCTACACTTCATTTTGTCAATGATAGCGCTAATTCTGCATACATTAAAAGTGATGGCTGGCATTTCAGAACTTATACAAAACGATGGTGAAGCGGGATGTGCGCTTGACTCATGAGTAAAGACGCTTGCAAAAGCGGAGTTGCAAAAGCGGAGTGAAATCCTTAAGAATTTCATTGGATTCGTTCGTTATTTGAATGCCCTGAGTGTCACTAGGGTTTACAACTTTCCAAAATTGCCTTGGATTTGTAACTAATAGGTTCGGTAGGTTGGTATTGTAAAATGTGTGTTTAGCTTGACGTAATGCGTGCAGGTAGTTCTTTTCTGCTTCATAATATTTATCCCATGCACAAGTACACCCAGTTTTTCTGGCGGAGCGATAAAGGGGTTTTTTTCTTAGTTCCAGGCGTTTTAAGGCAGTTGTAAACCATGGTTTTTGCTGGGAGGAACGAAAACTGATTTTCGGAATAAATTTGTCTGTTAGTTCCGTTAGTTTATTTTTGAAGCGTGTCCAATTGCTACCTACAGAATGTTCACAAAAGGTTGACTGGAATACGGGAAGGAATTGAGTCATGGCATCGTTAATCTCTTGATAGTTACCTTTGTCGTAAAGACGTATTGTTTTCTCGAAGGTATTTCGCGCTGACGGAGTGAATGAGAAGACAGCATGGATGGGTTTGTGGTCGCCTATTTCAGATAAACACATAATGGACGAAAGGCTGTCGGAGAAATTGGTTAGTACAAGATCCAGAACGTTAGCAACTTGTTGGGTAACCCGGGTGGGTTCTGATACTAGCTGAGAAAGGTTGAAGTTTAAGCGAAAATCGACAAAATTCCGCGTTTCAGTGTTCCCTGGCGCTGAAGATGATTGCGGGTTACACCAGTCAATGAGTGGAAAATTAAAATCACCGAAGAGTCACTAGCTTGCTTACGATGTCGTTAAGCTGGTAACTGAAATCAGTAGTGGCACTAGGGGGCCTGTAGCAAACACCGAGTAAAACTTTTTTTGGAAGGGTATTGATTAGTACCCATAATGTTTTCAGGCTTGATGAAATGCTTATTGGCGAGCATGGTAGATGCTCGCGCAATGCTATTAGTACATCACCGGCACGAGTACCTGTGCGGTCTTTTCGAAAAAGGCAAAAATTTGGCAAGTCTGTTAGGACTTCGTGTCCAGCACCTCAAATGCAGTCGAGCCTTTTGGCTCCCGTTGCTTCCCAGAAGTTGGCAGTGGAGCCAGCTATTTTCACAGAGCTTTTCTGGTTTTTTGCTGCACGGTCAGGTATTTTGGCATCCCAGGAAAATGGCAGGCACAGCACTCAAAGTGAGCGTAAATTTCTTCGGTGCGTGCAGCAGGACGTTTTCCTTGTATTCTGCATGATATGTGGCTGGCAGAGATCGCTATTTCTGAGAAAGGCTTCACGCACACATGGTCACTAGGCTGCAAGGCCTTGTCAGCTTTCGAAATCGTTCATCGCCACTATCTAAGTGCCCTTGTTCACATGGAGCCTTGAAAAACTACACACGCTCCATTCAGGTCCGATACCCTAATTGCAATTGAGGACCAAACACCACTTGCCCATTTTGAGACGCAGCCAGCGATAAGCCCGCTGACATAAATTCATGCAGTGTTTTAATATACGTGCCCTCACTCACAAAGCACGAATCAGTAAAAGAAATGCACTGACAGGGCTCACAGGAACAGGGCAATGCGTTTCTAAATCACAAAATTGCAGGCACACAAAGCTTTCAGGAAGATGTTTTTTTTGCGCGCGAATTTCAGAATGAGTGCTGCGCGAATACCCAGGGCCCCATACAGTAAAGCCACGTCAACTCGTGTGACAGAAATTACTCGTAGCTCAAGGTCATCGGCGAACACAATCTGCCCGCGCCTGCTCCTTGCACGGAGTGGAGAGTGTCAGCACCTAACCTATAGCAATGCAGCTCTTGTAATGTTGCTAGCTTAGCCAATGGGGAAAATAACTTCTCAATTCCACCTGAGGTGTGCAGGAGGTTTCACTGCAGAACGTCCCTCCCATTGTAGAGTCTTAAAGAGAACAAGCTCTGCAACAGATGCAAGAATGAAGGGATGACTGACTTCTTACAAAGGCCGGTCATGGATTACTGGCTTTTTCTGGGGTGAAGGTGGGATGTGAGTGATTTGTTGAAGCAGTTGAGTAATTGTATAAGAAGCTGTAACACTGCCCACTTGTGAGAGGTCAGACTGAGTAAAGGCAGATATGGTGCCCCCATGTGGCCCTGCCGCGGTGGTCTAGTGACTAAGGTACTCGGCTGCTCAGATTCGCAAGTCACGGGATCGAATCCGAGCTGCGGTGGCCGCATTTCCGATGGAGGCGGAAATGTTGTAGGCCCGTGTACTCAGATTTGGGTGCACAATAAAGAACTCCAGGTGGTCGAAATTTCCGGAGCCCTCCACTACGGCATTTCTCATAATCATATGGTGGTTTTGGGACGTTAAACCCCACATATCAATCAATGCCCCCCATGTGCTATGGGCAAGGGAGCTCGAAACTAAAAGCACGAGCCTCCACTTGTACTCTGTTGCACTTCTTGGGTGTGGTTCATAAATGTAATGTGAAAGGACACCACAAGCGCTTTAATATTAGCAGCAAGCATTGTTGGCCAAATACCAGTGATGAAGGCTGAATGGAAAAATCGGACACATAGCACTATTTTGGCAAAAATTAATTTGAGTGCGAACACACGACACATTCATGCGCACACAAACAACGAGGCATCAAACAGGCACATCGCAACATGCCTGGATGTGTGTGGGCATGAATGTGTCGTGTGTTTGCACTCAAATGAATTTTTTGGAATGTTCTACCACAAGTTCTTTTTATTTTTTTGGAATGTTCTAACAAGTTCTTTTGCACTATTTCGGGCATGTGATTTAGCGCAATATGAATGCAAGGAAGTTGAGTCATGCTGAATGAACAATCGGTAAGTGTGCATAATGTAGGTTTTATCTCTGTCAATGGCTGTAATGTGATGCTTGTATTTGCATGAGTCTTTATATTTATCCACATTCAAGTGGTACGATTTCTCTTGGCATTATCTTCGGTAGTCTAAACCAGATATACAATGCCATGCTAGGAACAAGTTGCTTTGAGAGAGAGAGAGTGCATTTAATCATACTGCGTGCATCATTTTCATGCATTTTATTGCACTGGCATGTGTGTGTTCAAATATCTGGGTGTGCCAAGTGCAAAGTGAAAGTGCACTGTGTAATTGTTTGTGTTGTGCTTTTCTTTTTTACAAGATGGCTGGGGGAGGTGAGAGAGGCGAGCTGAAGTTCTGTGGTGTCTGTGGTGACAAGGCATTCGGCTTCAACTTTGGTGCCCTCACATGTGAATCGTGCAAGGCCTTCTTTCGACGAAACGCCATTAAGGACAAGGTAGCTCTGTTAGTGTTGTTGGCTATCCGTGCTGCATGAGCTTTTAGCCAAGAAGTGGCTATGGTGTCACTATGCCTGTTCGAATTATCTTCATGGTGACTATATACATACAGGCATGGCTAGTGAAGGAACTCAACGGCCTCATTTATCTTGTCAGCAGAATTTGCATTTCAAGCTTTTATACCGATAGCTTTCACATACCACTGCCAAAAGCAGGAAGGTGCAAAAGTAGGAAGGTTCTTTTTCTACTTTATACTTCTATTTATTGGGAAAGCTCGTCTCATTGTTTAAAGACTTGCTATGAATGTTTCAAGGGTGCCAGCAAGTCAGCTCTGGAAAGCTGAAAGCCTGCAAAAAACATTTTGTGTTACTGAAGAGCTGTTATTCGTTGAGATTCTTAGATATAATGATCAGCCAGCATGTCCCACTACTTGTATGCCACTTTGTCCAATGTGGAACGCAACAAGTCTGATGGGTGAGCAAACAAGTGCAGGGAAACAAAGAAAGAGGGAGAAATTCTTGGGGGAAAAAGTGTTTCATTGAGGTGAAATGAGATTCGAACCCGAATAACCTCAGCGCAAATATAAGCATTGTAATCACTGCATTGTCTAGGCACACTAACAGAGCTTAGGGTAGCCATAGTATAGTATAGCCAAGAGGGGGGGTGGGAAAGGGAAGTGAGACGGGAAAAGTGGAGGGGAGACCGAGTACTACTGAGAGAGTGAAAAAAAAGAGCTAGAGAAAAAGGGATGAAAGGGAGAGAGAAATCGAAGACGTAGAGACACATAAAAAACTGAGACCACATAGGTGAAAATGTTTTTCTGGTTAGCTACTGGTTTATTAGCACATTTGCAGCTGGCGGTAGAACCAGCAGATGATACAATGAGGTAGAGACAAGAGCAATAGCTGATAGTTCCAATGCAGAGTTGCAGATGGTCGGCCTACTAGTAACTCAGCGATGAGGAGCTAAGTAAAGAGGCTGAAAATAAGGCAAATTCTAGCTGGATATTCATCGTTTTCCATCTGTAATCAGGCATGTTTGGTTGGGATCTTCATAGCTGAACATTTGTCACCCGTCATCTTCGTAATGCTTTGAGTTCGAGTGGTACCAATGTGCGTGTTAAGTTTGTTTCATCAAGAGCTTGCAGTTCCACAGCTGCGGCTATTTCGAAATTTCATTAAGTGCATGCATAGCACAAAAAGGTCATGTGAAGTAGTACATTTTATTAAAGAATCTGATATATGCTTGAAATAGTATTTCATTGTGCCAATCTTATTTGAAAAGACTCCACGACTAGCCTTTATCAACACTGAAACCTCATTATAACAAAGTTGCATCTGCCATGAAAATACTTCGTTATATCTGAAAGTTTGTTATAAAGGATTATGTGTAACACTGTAGTTATGGCAAAGCTACTGGTCACTTACTTCGTTATAACCAATAATTCGTTACACTTGAGTTTGTTATGCCGAGGTTCGAGTGTACTGTATTTGACTACGGCCCTATGGCATCATGATAATTTTTACGTTACATGGGGCCCCCATTTGTACTAGTGTTCCCTGTAAATGAAAAATACTACTTTTTTTATAATGTATTTATATTATATAGTAGGTCATTATTCAACATTAGTGTTGAAAGCACAAAGAAAAGATGCAAGAATAATGCTTCCAAGATGTCAATGAAAATTACGGCAATTCTAATCAATGCTAGTGACAGTAGCATTGCGGCAATCTTTGTGGTGGCGCTAGCCTCTAGAGCCCTTAAAAAGGAGAGAGGCAAAGCTAGCAAAGTTCACTGTGGTTTGACTGTGGCAGAAAATGGGGAGTGCTCGAAATAGAACACTATTTTTCGCAGTGAAGTAAACCCCTATGCTTTGGCTACCTGTTTGCATACTATGACCACAGTCCCTTAATACCGTTCTGGTCACGAAACTTCTCCGTCACTCTATGGGAGAGCTTGATATGGTGCCAAGAGCGGCCGCTACGCGGCGCAAGCCGTCCTAGGGGGGCCATCGCCCCGCTGCGCCCGGCGGAACGCACTGGCCGCGGCGGCATCCCGAAGGCGTTGTGTGGTGGCAGCTCGCGGTTTCTGCATCAGCGAAACGCGAACTTCATGTGCCAGTGCACCGTGCTCAAGGTGGATGGCATGAAAATTCGAATGAACAATGCCTAAGACGTGCTGTGTGACGGGTTGCAGCTCCGGATACCGAAGCAACAAAGAAAAGGCGTTGCTCTTCTGTTTCCCAAGTAGCGCCGAACTCCGAGAGAAATGGAAGCGAGCTATACCGCGGTTGGAAGCTGGCGGTTTCAGCTTCGAAAGTAAGAACGTTCGGGTGTGCGAAAAGCATTTTGCTGCTAGCGACGTTGTGAGAACCGACAAGCACATCGTGAACGGGGTGGTCGTGTCGCTTCAGCGAGAGAGACCGAGGCTTCGCACGAACGCCGTTCCAAGAATTTTTGACGGGCTCCCGGCGTACCTGACAAAGCCGAAACCGCGTTCACGGCCTGCGACTCAGAGGCAACCAGCGAAGAGGCGGCGCGAATTGTCACCGTAATGCGCAGCAGTGGAATGCCAAAATGTCAACACCGACTCGGCAGGAGAAGTGTCTGTTGCACTTTTTAGGGACAACAGCTGTGGTTGTACACTTTTTTTTAGATGTAGATTACATTTCTTCACTCGAAAAAAAAAAAACAAAGCCTCGCGGGCAACTGTGCGCAGTTCATGCCCTGCAAGTGGTGGGCGGAAGCCACAGTGTTAAGCATAATGGCTGTGTATGTGAGCACGCCTTCCCATTTGTATATAGTGTTGTATATCTTGTATACATTACACTGTAATATTTTCGTACTATTCATATTTATCTGCATATAGTGTAAATAGTGTATATTCAAATACAGTTTATTTTAGGCAGTGAGCTAAGGCAGAGTGCAGCTGTTAATGAAACGAAATACACATTGTACAGTAGAGTCACAGATTGTGTAACATTGCTCAGAACAGCTGCAATAGTTTCTAGTGCTTTTTTTCTCCAAAGTGTTGTTCTCAGTGTATTTTGTGTAAATAAATGTTTTCCAACTTTCTCCCCATTACATGCACCATATGTGAATCTCCCATTCATAAGTACACACCTGACTACTAGGTGGCGTATCATTAGCACCAAGTTTAAGATTTATTGCATGCCTGAAATCATAAACGCCCTTCCCCCCCTCCCACCCAAAAAATAAAAACTAATGTGTGATGAGGTACCTCGGTAGTGGCAGAGGCGGCCAAGCGACTAGCACTGGCATCAAAAGGAACTTCCAGATTAGGCTGCTGTACTTCCGTTCCCGGAGAAATCATGGGTTGTCGGCCGGTAAATAATAATGCCCTAAACAGTAAACACAAGGAAACGTCAAGCGGCGGGTGTCCCGTGTAAACTGTGTGGAAATAAGTGATCAATCAAATGTTGGGCACGTTTAGAGCGGTCGCGAAAGCCCTCGGCATCGAAAGCCCCCGCGTCAAAAAAGCGATCGGCGCTCACAAACGTGTGTCCAAAACAACTATGCATTTGGGTATAAACTCAATTGAAAGGTCTGGAATAAAACTTCTGGCTCAATCATTCAGTTCATTTGAATACTTGGGTAGCAGCGCGCGAGAGGCGAGCCGGATATAAACCAATGTGATTGCTCCTGTACTACCCAGTCGTGTTTCATTTCGTTCACCTTCCTCCCCCTATTAGCGGCCCTACCAAAATATAAAGCTCACCTATCGCATAAACATAATCGCCTTTTGGCCGGGCGCAAATACAAACATGTTGTCGAGCAGATCAAGCAGTAGCTGCTCGCATCAAGAGCATGGAGCATAAACATCGTCTTTCAACACTTGCGAGCTATAGCTCGCAAGTACCGCTTCGAGGCATCGTAAGTAAGCATATAATTGGGCTATGAGACCATTATTGACACAATGCGTTATCGCGCGGTGTGAGAACACTTTTAATGCGCTGCTGTTTATAAGGTGGGCCCGCACTTCCAAGTAAACTACGCGTGCGTTCCAAAGTAAACAGCCCTGATTCGTCGTCGACACTGGATCCCGTTTCAACTTATTTATCTGGTGGCATTGATGCGTTCAAAGACGTTTAAAAAAAGGTAACAGGAAGAACAGCACGCACATAATCGCGTCGAAACGTCGGCCGCAGTGCGCATACAAGCCCAGCAGTGGCGGCGGCTTGTAACCCCCATACGACGGGTGGCGCCTCTAGCGACAGATTTTGTCCCTATATCAACCTTCGGGCGGAGTTTCGTGACCAGAAAAAAATTGAAGGACTCTGCTATGACTAAACCTTAGTTGAACATTTACATCGGCGAGTTAACGCCGTGTCAACACTGTGCACATCTACAGGAAAGCTCAAATGAAAGCGATTTTTTTTAATTGATATCTTGTGCAACCCAGCCATATGGGGCACTTTAGATCATGGTTGTGAAAAGTTGTCTGTAGACAGTGTGTCGAAAATTCTAGATCATCTTCAATTATGAATTCAAACCTTGTTATACGTCACTCGTGCTGTGTGCACTGTATATGCAGCTGGAATTGTTTTTGTCAACAGCAGCACTTCAAGGAAAGAAAATGTCCTGCTGAGCAAATCATTTCCCTTTCATGTTTCGGCAAGCTTCAGATACTTACTGTCTACCAATTATACTATCTTAACTCTTTTGTTACCGCACAAAAAAGGTTATTTTTAGTATGTCTCGGGAAGATCGTTTTTGCCAGTTTGAAAAATAATCCAGCACGCATTGAAGTATACCAAACTTTGCTTGATGAAATGCTCTTAAAAAGGATATATACAGTAAAACCTCGTTAATTTGAACTCGGTTATTTCGAAATTTCGCTTAATTCGAAGGATTTCTGCAGTCTCGTATTTTCTAATGTAAGTTAGAGTGGATAATTTAAAGCGGCGGCCGGCACCAGTCCGGTTAACTTGAAAACTTTGGGTGCCATGTGCCTGTTCCAGATCCCGATTTCGCCGTGA